AGGGTTAGGTTTAGGGTTAGGTTTAGGGTTAGGTTAAGGGTTAGGCTTAGGGTTAGGTTTAGGGTTGGGTTTGGGGGGGTTAGGGTAAGGTTTCCGCGTTAATTTTAAATTTACCGCTCACAGTGTGCCGTTTTCGTCGCGCTGTGATGACGTCACATACGCGCTTTCGTCGAGCGTGCTTTAGTCTACCGTGGATTTGTGGTGGAACCCATAAATGATAACTAGAAACGCAAGTTGTATTTGAAATCCTATTAGGATCAGGTGCAGTTCAGAGAGTAGTGTTGTTACGTAGGTGTACCAAAATGTACTATTTCTGCACATAGTGTTATATTCTGGATCAGTTGCAGCTTCTGGATGGCCTTCAAGGGCAATCCCATGCAACACACATTTCAGAAATCCAATCAGGAAGGGACCAAAGCATAAATGACTGTGAGGAGGAGCTCCAAATCCAGAAATAAACACCACTGATGCTTCCTCTTTTCTTAGATGGCATATTTATTGTCATAGTTCCCTTGTCAGGCAGTTGAGACCAATGGACAATTGCTAAAGTCCATCTAGCTGCTTTAAAGGCTATGCTTCCTGAGGGATTCCTATAGTTGGTTAAAAAGAGACCCAAATCTGGGCTCATGTTTTTCAGCATGGATTTGGATCATCTCACCATTGGCAACTCCAGTAACTCAGAAGATGCTGCCACATGAAAGACACGAGATGTTTGGGGTTAGTTCATGTGTGTATGTGTTTTGTTGTCTTTTGGAAAGTTTCTGTACATGCTTGCCAGGACAAATAGGGACAACCTGCTGTCTATTTGGAGTATGTTTGTTTATGGTGTGTGTGTGTGTGTTTATCTGATTCTAAAAGAAAACTCAGAAACGCGACACTGAATTGACTTCATCAGGGAGAAAATAATTCTGGATTAAGCTACTTTGATTTGACTTGTTTTGGTTTTGTGGGCAGATGTTTTAAATATATGTGGCTCGGTCAGCATGTTTGTGGGGCAGCTCTTATGTTATGTAAAATTTTTGGAGGCAGATTTTGATTCCTACATTTTTTTAAAGCCTATTATGAATTTAGAATTATAATTCATCCCAGTTCCTCTGCGGCTTAGCCTAGCTGATGATCAGACTTCCTCGCGTTGTAATGCACATCCGAGCCATGAAAGATAATAGAATTCTGCATAAAGAAATTCTGGGTTTAAATGACAAAAATATTGTCTGCAGCTCAACAGTTTTGCATATCCTACTTTTGCTAAGCAAGAAGTGATGCATTATGGTAAATCCTCACCCTACCCACAACCTCTGAAATTCTAACTCGGAGGATATATGAGACGATGAGGACTAGCAATATAGTTGGTTGTGTGGTAAAGGAGACTTCCATGAATTTTAATTGTGGATACAGTTCTGCAATTTATTTTGTCCTATCCATTTCATATTCTAACTGGTCCCTAATCCTAGACTTACAAAATATCTTGGAGATCATTTAGTCCAGCTCCTTGTTCAACATAGTGCAGTGTTTTTCAAAGTTGGCAACTTTACCATGTGTGGACATTAATTCCCACAATTCCTCAGCTAGCATGCTGACTGAGGAATTGTGGAAATTAAAATCCGTACCTGTTAAAATTGCCAAGTTTGAAAAACACTGATGTGGAGTATATGAAGGTAAATGTTTCCCTGTCCAGTTGTGTCTGACTTTAGGGGTCAGTGCTCCTCTTCATTTCCAAAGATGCTTCATGGTCATGTGGCCAGCATGATTATAGGATGTATTGAACGCTGGTACCTTCAAACCAAAATGATACCTATTTATCTACTCGTGTTTGCATGCTTTCAAATTGCTAGGTGGGCAAGAGTTGGGGCAAGGACAGAAGCTCACCCCATCACAAGATGCTTGGGTCTTGCACCCTCAACCTTTGGGTTGACAAGCCCGGCATCTTAACCAGTGGTGGGATTCAGTCAGTTCGCATCTATTCGGGAGAACCGGTTGTTAAGCTTTCTAAGCAGTTTTGGAGAACCGGTTGTTAGAAGAAATCTCATTTTGTTTTGTTTTTTCCACTTTACAGGGCTAATCCTATAAGGGAGGCAGGAAGGAATCCCACCACTGATCTTAACCACTAGGCCACTGTGCCTCTTTTGTAGAGTATATAGCCAGGTGCAAAATTTCAGTATCTTTAAAAAGTTGCCCCCCAAAAAACCTCTGTTAGATAGCTGGTGTCGTGTAGTGGTTAAAATGATGGACTGAATACACTCAGATCCAAGTTCCCCACTGACTACAAAATTTGTAGTGTGATTTCACAGCAGCCTTTTCCCCCCAGCCCAACCTCCCTAACAGGGTAGATTGTATGGTAGAATTTGGAGAGATTCCACACCCCCAAAACCATGCAAGCTTCCTTGAGTTGTCTATAAAAAGAGAGTCTAGAAATGCAAACTCAATGCAATGTTGTTGTTGTTGGTTGCACAGTCAGCTAGATGTTTTAACCTGGCTTTGGCATTTATTCACCTATCGAAAGGTCTTGGACAGGGTAGATAGTGATCCTTGACGGTGTTAAAGATATTATTTTCATCATCATTATCTGCAAGGCATGAAACCCCTGGTCCCAGTCCCTGAGACAGTCTGTCCCACCGCTTTCTGTATCTTTAGAACTGTTTTTAAATATCTGTTTATCTGTATGGATGCAGGCTTGACTTAATCTCTGTCTGCAAAGTATTGCAAGTTTCGTGGTGTGGAAGGAATGCAGTGTTACCAGCCTTCAGGGATTTAAAAGTAAACAAAAGGGGATTTTTCTTTTCTTTTTTTTTTTAAAAAAAGGCAAATCTGGCTGCAAGACCTGAAATTAAGGAAATTATTGGGCACAGGGAGAATTGGCAAACCTGCTAAGCTACAGAGGAAGGAAGAGGGATGAGAAAAGAATCTCTGTGAGCAAGGACTGTTTCCCTAAAAGCTGCCTCTCTTGCGTATCAGAGGCAGCTTTGAAACAAATGATTAGTAAGGCGTGAATTCTATGATTATTTAACCCTATTGAGGAAGTGATACAACTGCAGCTCCAAGTTTGTGGTGGCTGTTAATTCATTTTTAACAACATAAGGATGTAAACAGCACCCTGTTGGATCAGACCCCGGGCCCTTCTAACAATCTGTTC